TATATATATATATATATATATATATATAAATAATTTGGTGAGTGAATAAACTGTGATGCAGGCCTGTGGCTGAAGGCCATAAAGAAGCTGTGTGGAGACTATCTAACTGCTAATTTTTATACCAAGAATGCTTGGGTTTGTGTTGTTGTTTTTTTACTCTTAATTGATTCAACACTTCACTCTTGGAACATAATTGGCCTTCTTTCCCAGACATTGTTTATAGCTTGGGGAAATGGTCTCCTCCATCAGTACAAACACCAGCTGTGATTTGCATCTTCTATTTGGCTTCTTTAGATGCTGTTTGAGAAATTGCAAGTGAGTGTTATAGCCATTCTTAAATGTTAACCTGGGAAATGATTTCTCCAGCAGATTCCGTGGAGAGCCTCTCTCACACGCCCTCCTCCCTCCAGCCACCCCCTGCCAGCTCCCTTCACACCGCCCATGCTGTCAGCTCCTCCTTGCCAAGAGATGACCCAAGCTCTAATACCATAGGTACTGAGGAAACCAGAAGTGAGTCAGAGTTTCTCTTCCTTCCTGATTATCTGATTCTGTCCAACTGTGAGACTGGAAGACTGCACCATGCCAGGTATGCTTATGCTCTGGACTCTCTGAGCCAGGCCTCTTGCACACTCTCCTCTGTTTGCAGAGCCCACACTGTCTCCTCTTTCAGGGTGTGTCACTGAGATGTGCTCAGTGTGCCTGACCAAATCAGTCCATTTAGCTGTAGCATCTTCTAGTGGGCGTATTTGCTCTCTTTTCTCTTTCTGCTACTGACAAGGCAGAGACAGATCACTATCAACCACTATGAAGGGTGAAGCATGCGGTATACTAAACAAAATGAGTCATGTATTTTAGCTTTGTGGCTTTCATTTCTAACCTTGCATTTTCATATGAAAAAAATCAACAAACTATTTTTTTTCTGCATCAAGGGGTTGGTGTGACCAAGGGCATAGAGGGAATGTAGCTGTATAAGTAAAATAAAAGGTGATACTCAAAGAATGGGAATGAGGCCTGCATGGTTTTTGTGATGGATGGATGGCTTTCTTCTTCAGACGTCTGCCAAGGATGTATCAGTAGTGTCGCTACGGTACCAACTGTAGCTGCCAGGGACCTGCTACATTTCAGTCAAATGCATATGCTTTTCTTCCTTCAGTTTACCCACTAGATGCGACAGCTGGTCAAACTCAGACCGTTCATTGGAACAGACTTCATTCGACGACGTTTTTGTTGATGGCCTGCAGCCGCTGCCCTACATTAACTTGGTCCACCCCTCTGCCCACGGGGATGGATCTCAGGAGGCACCTTCCACAAGGCCTCAGGCTGCCCTGATCTGGAGTAGAAATATCAATGGACCATCCAGGGACCACTTTTCTTCACCATTGCTGGAAACTTCCTTAAATTCCACCAATCACATAGATAAAAACCAAGGTTCTTTGCCTTATGGGGTAAAAGAACTAGACCTTGTGCCCAACACTCCACCTCCCCGCCCCCCTAAGCCAATCCATCTCTCTGAACGGCGCCAAGAGGAGCAGCTACTATGGAGTAGGCACAGCAGCATCAAGAAGCCAGAATGCACTATGGCACCAAGAAGAATCTCTCTCTCTGGTCTAGATAACGTAAGAACCAGGAAAGGTAAGTGTTGGATGCTAATATTCAGGTACAGAGAGAGGCCTAGCTCCTCTTAACTCCTTGGGCCCCTGTAGATGCTGAAAGAAGTCAGAACCCTGGTCCCTTAGGCATGCCCATGTGATGGCTTCCCCACCTGAGTCTAAGCTCCTGGTGTTTGTTTGGAGCCACTCGGAGGCCCATTTGGTACAGAAAGTGATATCTTTTATATCAGCTGTGCTTGATTCCATTCTTTGCCGCTCACATGCATAGTGACCTCTGAGACAATAGACCAGCTCTTTTCTTCTATTCTCAACAATCCCATCAGCCTCATTCATCATACCAACGGAAATGTTTTTTTCCAAATTTTAACTAGCTACACGCTAGTGATGTGGTTTTTTACCAAGCCGTCACCATCCACATAATGCTAAGCCAGCCCCATCAGTTTGGTCCATTGCCGTGCTCTCCTGGAGGCCTCGTTTGCCTTTTTCTGTAAAGCTCTTGATTCTT